ACAGGGCACATTTTCCTAATGTGCAAAGGTCTCTTATGGACCAGCAGTGGTTCTGAAAGGAGAAATATGATCAGATTTGCATTTTTGAAGGATTGCTCTGGTTACTGTGCAGAGACTAGAATATAGGATGGGAAAAACAAAATCATGGTAGTCACCCTGGAAGAAATTACAAAGATCCAGATGTTAGATCAGGTAGGTAGGACGGAGGGAGCAGTAACAGAGACATGAGAAAGTGATCAGCTTATGACAGAGAAATCACTCAAGGGACAGGGAGGAAACTTATGTCAAATGCCTGAAAAGTGTCTGACACATGCTTATGAACATGCTCGAAACGTGAGTTCCCTTCTTTCCTTTCCTCTTCAATCAAAATTCACCCCAATGTGAGAACAAAACAGATAACTGTTGAACTTGGACACCAGGTGAGCATTTAGTGTTAGATAGGACAGGAGCAGCAATCCAGTCCTTTGATCATGGAACCAGGATAATGATAACTCAGAAAAGGGCTGGGCTGTGCAGCAAGGAGCTCACTTCTCCCCCAGCAAAATATCCGCAGGCCATTTAATAGCGGGGAAGTGAGTTGGGGATAGGAAGGCTCTCATGTTAACAGACTTGTAATCATTTCCGTCTCCTAGAGCTCATTCAAGCTGCCAGCTTTTTACCTGCCTGCCCCCTTTTATTGGTACACAAATACAGGTATGCACACTCAAACCCACACAGTACTAGCAACCAAACACTTTGGTTCTGTAGACCAAGATTGCAACTCTTTTAATTTTTCTTGACCTCTTATTCTTTCTTTTTGAGAAAAGTCTCGCTTTTACTCAGGCTAGTCTCAAACTCCTGAGCTCAGGGGATCCACATGCCTCAGCCTCCTAGATTGCTAGGATTATAAGCATGAGCCACCGCGCCCAACCTACTTGACCGCTTATTGACTATTCTTAATACTAAAACATGGACAAGTAATCCATACTCTATATGGAAACTGAGGTTTTCCTGAATTCTCAAGGCTTAGCTGTTCTTTGGCAGACTCGAGATGTTTCTATGATATGCAAAATGCATGTGAAAGTACATGTATGTAAGTTGCTATGTAAACATCATGCAGTATTTTTCCCTATGTAATATGCTATAACTTTAGGTTTGGAGGGGAAACCTTGGGATTCAAAAAATATGAAATAATGAAAAGACAACTCCAGGGAAAGTTCTCTTAGAGATAAAATTTCATGTCTATGTCCTGTGTCAACATTTTCTCTTGTTCCTATGGCCCAAATTATGTGCTGTTGGAAAGCCCAGTGGTTTTAATATTCTAAAACAAACAATAGCAGCATGTTCTAAGTATCAGCCAGAAAGTGAGGTGGTTGACAGCATGAATATTTCTGGGTGCATTTTCAGATTGTCTGTAAATTCATCCCAAATGAAGAAATTCAGATGTTCCTGGAGGAAACACTGGATGGTCTGGAAAACCTCAACCCCACGTGCGCAACGGCCTGTGGTATATGGATGATCATTGCCCTGAAGGAGCAAGGCATGGCTCTGGAAGATCAGGTGACCTGATAGCTGGTTTTATAACTGTGCAGAATTCCAACACTTCTGAAATGCTAACCGGGTCACCATTCCTCTCTTTGTCCTCTGATGGGCCACAGACAAGAGCATGCACAGCCTCCAGGGGCCTCAACAGAGACCCAAGCTGTGTGCTGACAGTAAGGCTCATGTTGAGTTCCCACCTCCAGTTGCCTCTCTAGTCTTTGATCATAAAAACTGTCCACACAGTCCCACTCTGACCAGAGGAAGAAGTTCCAAACCAAGACCATTTAGCTCATGGAAAACTGGTTGTTAGATGTGTGAGAAAAAAGTGCCCTTGAGATGCCTTTGAGATCACCACAGAGGGCACAGGAGTTTCTAACCCCATTGCCACTTCAGGCTTTCCTTCCACAGGCCACAGAATTTATTGTCTGAAATGCAAGGCTGTCATTGAATTGGGGGAAGATCTCAGCTCTTCTTCCCAACTGGCGAGTTAAGCAGAGTAAATAGGATTTCAATTCCATGAGCTTGGCTAAAATCTCCAAACGGAGATGCCTCTTTCCTCTCACCTCAAATCAGAAACACATTCAAGCTATTCAAGGATAAATAAGAATGGTAAAAAGTCTTTAATTACATAAAAATCTTAAGGGGAATAAGAGAAAGAAGTCCATTCCCATAGCCCACTTAACTATCCTCAATTTTAAAATGCTCTAAACTACTGTTTTTGTGCAAGGAGGTTAGAAGTGGTCTCTGTACTAATTACTTTTTAAGAAGTGTTTCAAAAACACATTTACTAAACATATACCATGTGGTGGACACTGGGCTTGAAATGGGAGAATCAGGTTGGTAAATGTGGAATGCAAATGTGTTCCCGGAGGAGCTGTTCACACACACAGGTAGAGATTTACAGTGGAAGCGCCAACCCTCTCCAAACATTATTGAACTGGGACTCTGTAATACTCATATGTGGGGGATATTTATGATTAAGCAATTATAGTTCACACAAAATGTTATGTTTAAAATAAATGTCCAATTTAAATGTCTATCTAAAATAAGAGAGAGAAATATCTACTAGAAACAAAGTTGATTTGTCATAGATAACAGTCCCTTGTCCATATCAAAACCCCCAAATGTGTAGTATCAATCCCCACTGCCTGGAGATTAACATCCAAATTCAGCATGGTGGCCTTCAA